CAGGGGTGAAAGCGAGACGGAAAAGAGGAAAGGCTGGTAGTAAAACCATTTCAGTTATAGCTAGTTTTGGGGAGGAGTTTACTTATTCTTTTTTTAAATTTTTCAACAATATCTACTTTATCTTGGAAAAGAAGTAGTTTTATATATATGCCAGAATTATAAAAGAAATCCTGATAGTTACAGATATTTCATTCTTTTCGAAAAAAATGCTGGAATGAAATGTTATACGTACCAGGGTTTTCTCTTTTCCGTCTTGTTATATAAGGGCTTTTACCCATGATCTCGGGATACGATTGGAGTCTCTGACTGGGATCGGAGCATGCGCGGGTGCCCGCATGGGCAGGAGAGAGCAGAGGCTCTTATCAAAAGCGGCGTCCAAATGATGCGGCCGTCCGTATGAGGACTGGATGGCGTTCGCGTTGCAAAATTCGACGATTGAGGAGCAGCGAGGTGTTATCCGATTTCTTCGAGCACAGAAAAATCATTAACTCTAATGTGTACTGTGAGACACTCTGACGCCTACGCAGGTCCATCAAGAACAAAAGACCGGGGCTGCTAACGGAGGGTGTGGTTCTGCTCCATGATAACGCGCTTCCACACGTCTCCAGACTCACACACATGGAACTGGCCAAGTTCAAGTGGGAGACGTTGGACCATCCGCCCTACAATCCGGACTAGTCGCCCTGAGATTTCCATGTGTTTGGTCCACTGAAGAAGCACCTGAAAGGGAAGCTCTTCAACTCGGACGGCATACTCAAGGACGCTGTGAAGGACTGGGTCTCGTCACGACCACAGGAATTCTGGGAACAATTAGTCCTGCGGCTTGTTCATCAGTGGGATCGCTGTGCTCAGGCCTATGGTGTATATTTTGAAAAAAGTCTACATTTGTACCCACCGTGTCGTTTCGTACCTTTTCATTTGATCACCCCTTGTATGTTCCTGCAATTTTTTCTAATACTGCTATTTGGCTGTTATAATTTATTTTAGCAATAATCTATTGATTGGTGAATTTTGTTTTTATTAAAAGCGTTCATAAATATTGACAGTAGTTTAAAGAAATTATATTTTTTTGAACGATTGTATTTATTGAGTAATTTTTTTTAGAGAAATAAACATATCAGGGTTTGTGAATTTTCTACAATGGATGAATAAATTTAAAATATAAACGCTTCTTTCTTATACCAGTAATTTTGATAAACTGTCGTATTTTCAACGCGAGTAACATTAAACCACCATTTGAGAACAAAATTTTCTCCCGAGATCTGAAAAACTTTATTTTTAAAGTAATATTCCATTGAGATTTATGCATTTTATACGATGATTTGTTGTCTAAAATAAATCAAAGAATTTTCACCGTTAGCGAACAATTTATTAATTGACTAAAGTTTCTTAGGAGAATAAATTTCGCAGAAATGTTTGAAATTTAATACAGAATTTAGGGAAATATTTAATTTTTTGAAGATTTTGTGCATTCTTAATCAAAAACACATCTTTTGATATTAATTGTTTACAGAATGTTGAATGTACTTTGATATGAAGATTTTAAAGATTAAAGTTACAATGTTTCGATTTTAACATGATTTTAACTTACTTGAACAATATTTCAATAATATTATACGCTTTTATGATAATAGACAATTACTATTTAATAAATAATAAATATTTACTAGAATGTTTGCTTAGGTGGAAAATATTGTAAACATTTACTATTTCAGAATTTTTTTGATTATATTTTTTAACTTTGACAACAGACAGTATTTGCAAATTAATATTTTTAGTATTTGCTAGTTTGTGGACACTGGTCGTTACTAATGATTACTAATTATGGGAACTATTCATCACTAATAATTATTAATTTGCGGTTACTGATCGTTACTAATAATTTTAATTTGTGGACACTGTTCGTTACTAGTAATTACTTATTTACCACGCAGGAGGATACTAATAATTATCAATTTACCTCTGAAGAGGATACTTATAATTATTAATTAATCGCATGATTATTATGAGAAAATTAGTAATTGTTATTAAGTTAATAGGTAATAATTCATGCAATATTAAGAAATTAGTTATACTTTAAGTATTTTTTTTAATTCCTTTAGTTAGGTTGTTTTTAATAACAATTTAAATAGTAAGTTATTCTAAATAAATACTTAACGTATAATTTTGTCTTTTCATAGAAATAAAAACTTAATTCTGAAGAAATTATTTATATTTATATTTGATCCTTCCTAAAATGGCTATAGATATTTTAAACAAAAACAGCGCAATGTTACTGCATTCTATTATGCCAATTATTGCTGACGGAGCTTTTCTTTTCCGAGCAATAGTATCTGTGGTGGTTCAGGTGATAGAGCGTTCGCCTCCCAATGACCTGAACCGAGTTAGTCAATACAAATTCCGCACCCGACTGGCACCGACGTAGCAGTGCTGACGTAGATATATCCTTAGTGGTAGACGGATCATGGGTTAGAGTCCCCTTGTCTTCTATCTAACCATGGGAGGTGACCGTGATCTTCCTATCCATGTAACGCAAATGCGGGTTAATTCCATCAGGCAGTCTTCACGAAGGCAAATTTCTCCCAATACATGATCCAGGAGTTCCCTTGTCTTCTGGATTTGGTTAAAAATTACAAGGCTATGAAGTTGAACATTGGTAGCTGTAAACTCAAAATCTCTTGGCTCTTGGGCAATTGAGGCAGATATACAAGAGTGAGTACTTTTTTCGGACTCCAAATCCTCATTACTGGCCCTCGAGAATCCCACACCAAGGGACATTATAGTTGAAAACATTAAAGGTATTATTCAACACAGGAATTACCGGTTCAACTGGATCAAGGCTCACTCGGGGGAAGCTGGAAATGAGGAAGCGGATGCTCTAGCAAAAGCGGGCACTCTGCTCAGTGGAGTAGATTTTTACTACTCTATTACAAGACCACAGCTTAATTATAAACTACGGCAGGTCAGCAGAGATTTATGGCAAGAAAGGTGGGACCGTTCATCAAACGGGAGACATACCAACAAGTTTTTTCCAAAAGTCAGCGATAAACTTTTAAATTGTGACTTTTACATAAACCAAATCTATACCGCCCACGGAGTGTTCGGAGAACAGCAATCGAGGTTTTTTCAGAAATCATCTAGCTGTAAATACTGCGGCAAAAGCCAAACAGTTCAATATCTAATTGCAGAATGTCCTAAATTCTCGACACTCCGGGGGAATCATATTAACATCAGGGAACCAATCGAAAAGTGGTGCAGAACAAAACAACAACAACAAATCATTAGAGAAATCATTAAAAGCACACTAGAAGATACCATTACAATAGACGATCCGATGGACCCTATACACTTAGGTTAACTTGATGTCTCCCCTCAATACCTGAACTGCCAATCCGCTTCTATTTTAACGCGTCATTCCCCTTTTATATTTTCCAAACTTGAGCATCCTGGGGGACTCCGTTGGTCTTCTGTTCTATCACCTCAACAATAATTTTAATTCCTCTTGATGTTTTTACTCACTTGAATATTCGCTTTTAGCTTTTTTATCAAAAAAAAAAANGTACCCTAGAACTTAAAGTATAATTAAAAAAAAAAAAAGAAGGGAAAGGAAAAAAAAAAAGTTTTTATTTTATTGTATTCATATCTTTAATTGTCTTGTTTTATTTGAGATGTTTATGTCTTGTAACTACTCATTATGTATTGTAACACATACTGTATTCTCTGTAACTTTGTTGGGGCCTTCAATACTATTGTAATTTGGCTCTGTCTAAGGGTGGGCCGTCGGCTTTAAGCACTATAAGGCGGCCCTCCCGGCAGTTGCCATATGACTCTTGTATTTTATGTATTTTATGCACTTTATGTATTTTATGTTTTTTTTTTTTGTTTTTACTTGGTATTAATAAACATTTGCCCTGACCGTATGCCCTGAATTGGGGCGGATCGGGGTAAATATTTTCAATGGTAGCTGTAAACTCAAAATCGGGTCGGCTGTTCAATAACGGTTAAAAAATAGCATATATATATATATTATACGATGCTTTAGTTAAGACTCGAGAGGTGCGTGAGGAAGTAGTGCAGAACGTAATGGAGCATTGAGATAAGTTTCCTATCTTATCTCATGACAGAGAAGGAAATAATTTTAATACTAGTGCTGCCTACTATGCTGAAATCTCCTTGACTCGTGTTTAATGATTGTTTGTGATATTTCATGGCTGTCGGACAGATTTTAAATTAATACTAAAATTCATTTAAGAGCTTTGTCAATATAGCGGAAAATTTTTAAAAATTGTTAGAATTGGAATTAAATTACTTCCGCGCGGGGAACAATTA